GGAAGGGCCCTCCCTGGTGGTGCAGCGGGTTAAAGCCCAGCACAAAGAAGCTTAAGCCACTTCCACATGAGTTCGATCCCCGCCTACCCTGGAGGAGAGCCACGTGGCGTGGCAGACCTCTCCTGACCCGCCCACTGCTCCCCTCAGCAGTATACTTCGTCTATCTGTTCTGCACCCTCACTCTGTCTCTGGTGAATCCTCCCAACCTCCACATCTCTGGCCTATACCCCAGTTCTATACGAATAAATTAATCTTTAAAAAAAAGAAGAAGAAAGAAAATACTGCTGGAAAAACCACTAAATTACTAGTAGGCCATGACTTAATGTTCAAAAAAAAAAAAAATTTAGGAAGGGGGACAGGTAGGTGAAGAGGGTGAAGTCATGAAAGACTTTGGAACCACTGAAGGATTTTAAAGAAAACGATGATTTCTATGAATGTTTGCCAGATAAAGAGTAGATAAAGCAGCTACTGAGACCATACATACATAGAGTAGCTACAGTACCATAACCAAAAATTGACCATAGTTAGTATCTAATACATATATCCTCTCTGTACAATAGCAAGTGTTTTTAAATAATCCTCTGGAATTACCTGGAAGCTCACATTAGGATGCACCTTAATTTTTTTTTTTTAAATAAGTCTCCATAAATAAGTTGCAGCTAAATTTTAAAAACGTGGGCCTCCCTAGTGGCCTAGGGGTTAAGTCTCAAGTGCTTTCACCCCTAAGGCCAATGTTTGATCCCCAGCCAGCCCCATATGGCACAGCAGACCTCTGCTATCTCTCCTGCTGCTTCCCTCAGTAGTGTATGTCAGTAGATCTGCCTATTCTGCTCCCCACTCTGTCTCTGGTGAGTCCTCTCACCCCCCCACCTCTGCTTCTCTGACCTACACCCCAGGTCTTGTATGCATAAATAAAAATAAATCGACAAAAGATAATACATTTTTAAAATCTTCATGAATAAAAAAAATCCACATGAATAGATTAAAGATTTGATCTTTCCAACCCAAATGCCCAAAAGTAGATGATTCGATTAAAAAGATGGGGTACATATACACAATGGAATATTACTCAGCAATCAAAAATGATAAAACACATGCCTTTTGCAGCAACATGAATGGTGCTGGAAGGGATCGTGCTTAGTGAATAAGCCAGAAATAAAAGGAAAAATACCAGATGGTTTTACTCATAGCAGGAGTATAAAGGACCAGGGGAGAAAATAATGATGAACAACTATATACCAGAGACATTTTACGGGGGTGGGGTAGGGAATGGGATCAATGATGGAGGGGCAGTGCTCTGGACTATGGTGATGGCACATGGGTGATTTGGTGATGGGAAGCCCATGGGGATTACAACTGAGATGGAAAAAGACACAAAATGATGTAAAAATAAACATTTTAAAAAATAATTACTGATAATAAAACTTAAATTATTGTTATATTGAACTATAAAATATGCAGCATATAATGGTATCATTCTAGAGATCAGATATTAGTATATATATTAGTGTAGCTATCATAATCCATGTATAAGGATGAATAGCTTATGTATAGCTATAAACAGATAAATACATCTTTATCTAACTTGATGTAACAGAAAAGACCATTAACTTATTTTGCTTCTGAAAAAAACTTGATCTTTCCTAAGAAATGGAAAGTTTGCAGTTCATTAAGAGTTGAGTCATACCATAGATCTGAAACATGCAACCAGGGAAGGAGTTGGGGGGGGAAAGGGGCAAAACAGGAGAAGGAAAAACACAAGGGAATATGGTGATGGTTCACCGGTGATAAGGTGACGACAGATCTGTGGTCTACATCTGAGGGGAGAAACCAATTACTGTACAAAAAGGAACAACAATATAAGGGAGGGGGCATAAGGTGAGTCGTAGCTATACATGATTCCACGAGTCATGGGCGCCTACAACCAAATATGTGCCATTTCTTCAAAGTATTGTACAAAGGATGCTTCCATTAACTATGCTATATTTGGGACATCATTTCACTAAGAGCCTATAGGAGGCCTTCCCTGATGGTGCAAGGGGTTAAAGCGAGCACTGTGGAGCTGTCTGCAACCTCTGCATGGGAGTTCGACCCACATGGTGTTTCAGACCTCTCCTGACCTGCCCACTGCTCCCCTCAGTAGTGTATTATTTCACTTGAGCTGTCGTTCTGCTCCCCAACTCTGTCTCTGGTGAATCCTTTCACCTATGCACTGCTGATCTATACCCCAGTTCTTGTATGCATAAATAAATAAATAAACTTTTTTTTTTTTTAAAGAGCCTATTAGATATTGTCCCTGTTTTTGTCCTTTGGAATATTGGTTCAGCTTACACTCACCTGTTCTGTAGGCAAGAACATGATGAGGAAGGGTCTCAGGAGGGCATATTCTGTAAACACCATCTCCCTCCACACAAAAAAGAGCAAAGTAGTATCATGTGGGATAGGAGATGAAGAGACTGTCAGTCTCTCAAATGTCTAAAAATGCTACCTGTAAATTTAGAGCTGTAGAGCCATATTTCTCCTTGTGTGTAGAGAGGATCCTTAGCAAGCTGAATGTGGAAAGAGAAGGAGAGGCAGAGATTGAATTTGGACAACATTTTGGTTCCTGTTCCCTGAGCTCTGAAACTCTTCATAGCCTCAAGCTGTTCCGTTTTTCTTTTAAATTATGGAGCTCAAATGAATGTCTACTAGCTGCAGCTTAAGTTCTCATCCCTTGGAGGGGGAGTAGGAGATATGGAGATACTTGTTATATTGTTCCCTCTGTCTATAATATCCTGTTGTAGATGTTCTGTGAGAAGACTGCTTACCTTTATTATCCATCTAATAATGCCACTTCTCAATCCTTTTTACCTGGTGAAAAGCAGTGTGATGGTCTAAGTAAACCACTTGCTTTCACGTTTGTCACACCTGTGTTCAAATCCCTAGCTTCTTGCAATGGAAACTGGAACAAGTTACTTTGCTTCTTTTAACCTCAGTTCTTATCATCTGAAAAGTGGATTGTAATCCTTGGTTATGCCTACAGGATTTGGGAAGTGATATAGGTTTATACCTATTAGGGTGAGTATATTTATTAGCAAATCACACATTTACAGAGGATGTGAAAAGCATTTCTTTATTCTTGTTAAGTGACTGTAAGTTATATCCTGAGATGACCAGGACTAATAGAGTTTTTCTGAAATCTACCTAGATGAGTTCCCAATAGCTTTGACCTTCATTATCTCCATTTCTCTTGCCCTCCCTAGGCAATACATACCCCATCCAGAAGCAGACATCTACAGGAAACAGAATTTTTTCTGTTGACTCATAGTACTGGTACATTTTAGAAATATCTGTACTCTGTATAACCAGCAAAGAAAGTAAAAGGTAAAAAGGAATTAAAAGGAAAAAAGCTATAGTCAAGAAATTTCCAAGAAATAACTCCTAGAATATAAAAAGCACTACACATGAACCATTAAAAATAATCTCTTGTTCTTATAATCACAGAGAAGTATGTTTTTTGTTGGAAAGAACCTAACTTCAATCAGGGGTAATAAAGAACAAGGAAGAATGAAAGCCTGGAAGCTCCAAAGTACAGAAAAATGCAAAATGAGAATACACATTTAATAAGTAGAACCACCAATGATTGCAACTAAGAGTATTTGGGAAAGTTTTGAGAGGGGAATAAGAGTTGAGAGCATCTGTTGTTCAGTGCAGTGTGAGAAAGGAAGACAGAAATTAGGAAAGATAATTTTTTTATTATTACAAAGTTTATTTTTACATCATTTTGCACATTTTTTTATTCCATCTCGATTGTAATCCCCACGGGTTTCCCATCACCAAATCACCCCTGTGCCACCACCATAGTCCCGTGCATTTTCCTCCCTTCCCCTCCCCCCCGTTTTTGATCAAGGAAAGATAATTTTAAGGAGACTTTTTTTCTTTTAAAGATTTATTAATTTATGCATACAGAACTGGGGTACAGGCTAGAGGTGCAGGGGCAGGGAGAGGATTCACCAGAAACGGAGTGGGGAGCAGAACAGGCAGATCAATGAAGTACACTGCTGAAGGGAGCAGCGGGCGGGTCAGGAGAGGTCTGCCAGGCCTTGTGGGTCACCTCCGGGGCCAGGGATTGAACTCGTACTGAAGCAGCTGTGGCTAGCTTGCAGAGCTGCACGTTAACCCATTGTGCCACCAGGGAGGGCCCGGAGATTTCTTATCTGTAACAAGTGTAAGTCATTTTGCTATTTTCCAAGAGTTCCAACAGAGCTCAAACTAGTTTTCAATTACTTTGTAATGACATTTACTGAGGTGAACCCAAGGGGATCTAGCTTAATTTAGATCCATACATCTTTATTAATGATTGCATCTTTGGAATCCAGATCACTTTTCTTGAAGTGTCTGTATTGATATCATCGCATAACATAAAGTAAAGTTGGACTTGAATATATTTATTTTCCCTACCAGGTTAGAAATTTAAAGGTAGAGAATCAACTTTGTGTCCAGCACAGATGCAGCTTCCACACCTGGCACAAAATAGATGTTCAAAAATCAGTGTGAAATGAATGCATGGATAATGGATGAATGAAATTGGACTTAAAGGGCAATTTCATTAACAACATCTGTAACAGTATTGTCTTCTCTCCCACCAATGAGAAGGCTCACTTCTGTCCTGTTCTTCACCATATCCCCATCACTTGTATTATGTAAACACATACGCTACAATGAAACGTATATACCCTCGAATGAATATTTCAGTGTTCAGAGGCAGAAGACAACAAATCCAAGACCAAACAGAAGTGAGTTAGCTGCTTTGGTAAGGCTCCTGTACGGAAGAACATCTTTCGCCTGCCCTCCGGTGGGTGGTAAAAAAACAGGTGTGGTGGCCCAGAAGCCTTTGGGAGCCGCTCCTGATTGCCCGCACGCTCCTCTCCTCCTTTACGGTAGGTGGCGCTGTGGCCAAGCGCGGTCCGACGGTACTTACGGCGCCGCTCTTTGGGCGGACTGAGGAGTCGGCAGAAGAACCTCCGGCGGGCCCTCGGGCCGCTTCGCTGGCCTGCTTTCCCTCGGCCCGCTTCGCTGGCCTGCTTTCCCTCGGCCCGTGACTACGCTTAGCCCAGCACCATGGGGAAACGGGACAATCGGGTGGTAAGTATTCGGCGGGGAAAACAATAAGGCGACGCGGGGCCTGGTGGAAAGAGAGCTGGATCGCTGGCTCTTCCCAGAGGGCCTGAGGGTCAGCGGCTGCGCTCGGACCTCTAGCGGGGGATCCGGCCCCACCCCCCGCCAGTCCCAGACTTGTGTGCGCCGCGCACTCTGTTGGCGCGTTCGGCCCCTTTCATCCTTATTTACCGTATCCCCTTTTTTCTCCTCCCCCACCCCAACCCTGCGCTCCGGCACTGATACCTCCTGCACTCGGGCCAGCAGTGCCCAGTCTTCACAACCTAAAGGGCCTACGGGATACACCTTTCCCAGTGTGTCAGGCTAACGTCTGAGGTTCAGGGAGTCGCCGAGACTCGCCCCCTCCTCCGCATCGCCCACCGTGGCCCCTCACCGTTTTTGTGTGCACTACTGTGGGATGGAGGCGCGGAACGGTCCGACGTGGCCCCTACTACATCACGCCCAATTCCAGCGGCAAATGGACTCTAGTTTGAGAGCCAGAATTGAATCACTTGGGGTTCATGTGCACCTAGCACTGCCTAGTACCTAGCAGACCCTGTGAAGGAACCAGTGGCCTGAGAACGGTTTACTTGGGCACAAAGCGAATAGTTTATTTAGTCCTCTGGGATTTGGCGACCTAGAATAAATTGTTTTTCTTCTCTGAACCTCAGTTTCGGCGTCTGTAAATGGGGATCGTTATTTACCTGCAACCTTAGTTGAGATTGACAGTAGTTCGAACCATAAAAGGCAAAGTAGTCGGGCAAGTGGTTGGCAAGAAAGTTATTACTCTAATAAAGAATACTCTAGTAAAAGAGATACAGAAACAATTAGTAGCAAATAAAAAAAAGGAAATTCTGATAGGAAATGTAAATTCTGAGGGTATTCACAAAAGAAGTTACTTTGGCACGTAAAGATGGGAAGAAAGCGTAGCGGATGGCCATTGGATGGGTTTGGAAAGCCTGGATTATAAATCAAATTAGATGAACGGTAAACACGGAATTAGTAGTAAACTAGGAGTTACTGGACTGACCTGTGATAGTTTTAACCACTGAGTAACAGTTTGAAGGGGGGGGAGGGGATGTAGTTTACATACGAAATCTGATAAACTAGCTTTTTAACTTTAATAGAACTTTACAGTTGGTGGAGAAAGGGTGCTAAAAATTTCGTGAAATATTTAACTTCCCATTTTTAAAACGTTTTAGTTTTATGTGGTCTTTATAACCAAAGATGTCTGGGAACCACTGTGGTGAACCTTCTTTACAAGATTGAGGAATGTTCTTTACTCCTTTCTTGCCTGGAGGTCAACCTTGTTCATTCTCAGAGCTGAAATAGTTTCTGCTGTAGTGTCCTTAACGTTTAAGATAGAGCTTTTTAGCAGCTTGAGCTTTAAATCTTCCAGACCTTGAGTGCAGTTTCATACAGAGTACTGAGATGTTTCTTTTGCTGGGAAATAGTGTTGGTTTACACATCCTTTTAAAATATTTGAAATTTTTTTTCAGATTAGCTTCATTTACTAGAGCATTTTGATAATTATGTCCTTGTTACTTGTTATACTGTGGTGGCACAGACTGTTCTGGTAACATTTTGTTTCCACCTGAAAAAGGTGGTGGAAATGAAACATGAAGTTAAGAGGTAAGAAGACACTAATTCAGTCTCTTCATTGCATAAAGCAGGTAGAACTTGGGTCATTTGATATGTAGTTTGCACATTTTAAAAAAAGAATGATTCTGAAAATACTGGCATTCTCCCCCTCCCCTTATGTTGCTGATACATAGCTTTAAGGATGACATATCTGTTTTTTGTGAAACTATTAAATTTTCATTGGGTGGGGGGAACATTTTAAAATAGACATTTTTTGGAGTATTTTAAGTTCATTGCAAATTTAATATATAATTAAATATATCATACATTGCAGATGTGAGCATAATAGTTCAGATAGTTTTCATTCCCTGCATCATTTCTTAGTCAGGCACCAGAATACTTTTGTTACAATTGATGAACCTACATTGATACATTCACCCAAAATCCCTTTCTCTTATGGTGCACTTTTGATCTTGTACTTCCTTAAACATTTTTTTTTAATATTTTAATTTGTGGTATTGTAAATGTTGTTTAATTCATGATGGGAATCCATTATGCCCATTATTTTCTAGAAGTTTCCTCCATATTCTGTTATGTTACTTTGTGCTCTTTAAAACAGATGTATTTTCTAGATAAAGATAGCTAATCAAAGTAACAAGTGGAGTTCTGCACATTTTGTCCTTAGTTTTACTGCATTGCTCTTTCTACTTGGAGCCAAATTTACCATTCTGAGTTTCAAAAACAAATGATTTTCTGTCATCCAAGCTCTTAAAGCAGCCGACTCTACTTGCATATGAATATGAATGTTTGATTTATTAACACCTCAGTATCTAAAGCAGTTAATCATAATGAGATGTTTCAAAAAATTGCACTGTGTTTCTGTTTCAATTTATGCCTAACCAGCCACCGTCTTAATGTTAGAGGCACTATTTTCTGCACTGACTGTTGTATAATAAGTGAAAGTAAATTATTTACTTTCATTGTTGTTTTAAAAGCCTTTCTGTTGTGTAGTAAAAATAAGCTTTGTTGCTTAATGATACTTTTTTTGCATGGAACCCAGTTCATGACTTGCACTTAAATAAATGTTGCTATTATAATTGAAGTAAATAAGGAGATATTTGGAGTGTACTTAGGAAGACCCAAGACAGTATTTATGGTCGGAAGCTTGAAAGTTAAGCTATATTCATTAACAGGTCACATATTTGTACCTTAAAGTGTAATTGATAATTGAAGTATGCAAATATACTACTTTACTGTTTTTTGCTTTTTGGTAAGTTATTCCAAAACAGTAAGGTAATTGTTATGTATTTTGGGAAAGCAGTTTCACAGTAGACACTAAGACACATTGTTACAGGGCAGAGAGAGAAGGATCCCACCCTCCCCAACCCGTCCGGTTCTAAATAGGCTCTGCCATCCGCCGCATCAAGACAAGACATAAGGACTTTAATGGAAAGGAACTTTAATACAATACAGAAAATTAGTAAACATACAGAAAAGACAAAGAATATATACAATTTTTTTTTTTTAAGAACTTGGGTGCAGGGGCAGTGAGAGGGTTCACCAGAAACACAGTGGGGATCATAATAGGCAGATTGACAAAGTATACTGCTGAGGGGAGCAGCAGGCAAGACAGAAGAGGTCTGCCATGCCATGTGGGTCACCTCCAGGCCTGGGGATCGAACTCTCACTGAAGCAGCTGTGGCTTGCTTGCAGTGCTGCATCCTAACCCACTGCGCCCCAGGGAAGGTCCAAGAATATAATTTCTAAATCAAACACCTGAAGTTTCCCATCCCCTCGTGGGTAAAAGTCTACCCAAAAGGGATTGGCCCAAAGAAGGCCTGAAAGCCCACCTGCCACAAGACTATAAACACCTTTTGGCCTATACCCATAGAAAAAGATCAGAAATGGCCGGACAAGAGCAAAATCAAAATCAGTATTTACGCTGCCATAGTCAACTCCCTACGGGTCTGCCACCCACATCTCTTTCAACCAGTCCAGAGTCAAGAACCAAGCATGGTTTCTTCACATGTCTCTCTGCTCCATGTGGCTTCCTCAGGTCTCCTCCTGGCTCTCCATCCTGCTCCCTTCTCCAGACTCCTCTTTTCTGCTTATCCTCCTTCTGGATGGGGCAGGGAACCTGTAACTTCCCCATTTCCTGGCAACCACCCTATTACAACATGAAAATATTGATGTACTTCTAAGATATGCTAGAAAACCAGATGACTATACAACACAGTAAATGTGTGTTGTGCAACCATCATCCCAGCTGGGTAGGTTCATTGTCAGTTCTCTCAGATAAGACGAGAATTTATAACCTCCGGTGGACTTACAGTCCTATAAGGCTGAAAAGGAACTCACAGGCAGCATTCAGAAACTCCCAGGGAGCAGACCGAGACTCCAGCCGAGAGACAGAACAGCGACTCCACTGCCCAGCCCCCCTTTACAGTGGAGTGCTTGGTGACCCTGCAACCAATATATTGCTGCAAAGGCAAGGACCGGCTATTTGCTGGATGTTTAAATAGTGGAAAACATTTCAAGATATGAACTGTAGTGTGTGTGAGGAAGGTAAACAATAGGCTACCACACTCATTTCTCTTGTAATGGGTTAGATGTTTTAGAAATTAGATGGAAACATTTCCAATGTACTGTTTGTGAATTTTTTACATGAAGACATTTCTGCTCTCTGAATTGGATGGCAGTATAGTTTGGTAGTTGCATTTTTCTCCTTTTGATTAGCATTAATGTTACCATGTTTGTGTGCATTTTTTGTTTTCGTTTTATAAAGATAATATGTTATTTAATTTTTTTTATTTGTATAATCTGTGAAAATGAATATGTCCTGTTTATATTGGGTTGTCAGAAAAGTCATGGCTCATATTTGCATAGAAAAAAATAATTTTTTTTTTACTTTTCTAACCCAATTTTTGGTACACATGTATCTAAATTTTTTAAATTTTGTAGCTACTTATTAAATTTTTGTTGTTGTTTGACAGCTTATTTTTATTTCAACTTAAGAAATACTGGACATCTTTCAATACCAGTAACTGCATATCTATCACATTCCTTTTAAAGGCTGTATAGTGTTTGATTTTGAATATACCTTACTGTATTTAATGAATTTCATTTTTATGGTTGTTTGGATATTTTCAATTTTCCCTACTTTAGTAGTTTAGTTGTGAACATCCTTGCATATATTTGTATTCCTTGAAAAGAAACATTTTAATCTTAAAATACTTTATCATTTCATGCTGCTAAAATTACCATATGTGTACCCTTCCTGGGGGTGCAGCAGGAAGAACAGCACTGTGAAGCTAACTGCAGCCTGCAGCACAAGTTCAGTCCCGAGCTAGGAGTGACCCACGTGGCATGGCAGACCTCTCCTGTCCTGCCAGTGTATTTCAGTCAGTCCACCGTTCTATTCCCTGCTTTGTTTCTGGTGAATCCTTTGAATCCCCCACACCTCTGGCCTATATCCGAGTTCTTGTATGCATAAATAAGTAAATCTTTTTTAAAAAATGTTAATACCAGAGAAGTGAGGTGGTAGGTATTATACTATTGTTTCCAAAATAAGTTTGGTTTACACATGGTTACTTACAATTACTTAGCTATTATTGTTAGTGTTATCAGTTGAGCTAACAGTGAGACCATTGCATTTCACCTTTCCATACCATCTAACTGACATTTTCAGCAAAGGGAGTTAGAAGAAATACTTAAGGGAAGATGATATTTTAAAAAAAATCACAAAAAGTCACTGTCTTTAAAGTTGCATTTGATATCCACATATATCCCTAATTATATAAACAACTCCAACCTTATGTGCTCTGGCATTCATTTCTACCTGTAAGAAAATAATATTAAAGGCTTAACTTTTTTATCCCAAGTAATTAGGCAGTATTTAACTACATAGACTAATTCTTGAACCTGTTGTTTATAGTGGTTTTATTTTGTATACTTTACCAGAGAAATCTGGAAGTATTTAAGTTGTGTTTATTAGGAAGGTGGGAATGTTAAGTTTTGTTTTTTTTTTTAAAGACTTCCTTAGATGAAGTAAAACAAATATATTGTGTACTTTTGCTTCTTTTGGAATAGTAAGGGTTAGGTTTAAAAGCTTAAAGCCAGCCTTGCTAATACCGTTTTCAATACCAAAAAGTAGAATTTTTATAAATGTTAAGTTTGCTTAAATTAAATTTGGAAAAGTCATTTTCAGGATCAAGAAGTTGAAATTAAAGACCACAGTTTATTGGTAATAAAGTGAATTTTAATAAAATAACTAGACTTTCTAGGCACTGTCATTTACAAAGAAACCTGTTTTAATTTTTCTCAATGTTTTTGTGGGAAAATGTCTCTTAAAATATTTCTGCTATAGTAATTACAATGTCAGGAACCTGATTTAACTTTATGCAGGTTTTTACTGTACTAAAATATTAAAACCATTTTTAATTTTAAGGTTCAGAGATATTAACTATATTTACAAAATTGTTTATCTGTATGCATTTTCAGACTGTGCAATTTCAGCATCTTGTTACAGGGTAACCCCAATGCGAATTGGGTTGCCTGACTGTGGGTCCTCACTCGTACACATAATGAACTCATAATAAGGTTTAACTGCAGGCACACACACAAAAGGTTAATAATGTGTTTGTTTACAAGAGAAAGGGAAATGAATAACTCAGGGGAAAAGAGAGATAAGTTGATTAATGCATCCTACCAGTTCTGCTGACCTGGAACCCCAATAGTATGCTGAGAGCTGGCGAAAAGACAAAAAGAGACAAGCTACAAGCCAAGAGACCCAAGCCTACATCTGGTTTTGTAACAAACATAGCTGCTTAACCCCCCCACCCCCGAC